GAAAATACTAAACTGGATACGGAATACAGCACTAAACTATAAGATAAACCATAAAATAATTCACATAATTGCAAGATTGTATCACATTCTATAATAATTTGAAGATAAAACATGCTGCATAGTGTATTTCGATTTAAATCACTCTGCCGCACAATAACTCTTCCCATTCACACATTCATAAAATAACTGAAGACTTCTTTAATATGTGACACAAATATAAAATACACACGCCAACTTATAATTATTGCTGCACAAGATCTATAGGTGATTAAAATATAAATATTTGGCGACAGTGTAATACTGATGAAACCACTTGATATGAGGGTCTACAACGTATGGATGATTGACAAGTAAAAAAGTATCAGGATTTAAAATAAGGTAGCACTACAGGACAACATCCACTATAAGTTTATGACCATTTTGAAAAAACTGCAAGAAGAGTGATGTTCGAAATCCCTCAAAGCTTAAAAATTGAAAGAGACTACCAAAAACTTTCAATGATCAATGTTATAGGGACATCAAAATCAAACCTTATTCAAACAAAAAACAAAAATTACACAAGCACTGGTCCCATTCAAATAATTTCTCCTGCTAAAAACAGAAAAACTAAAAGATTTAATTCAAGCGGTAACCAAAAAACGAGATTTGTGGATGATGCTTTAAAGCAAACCAGTAAATCTTATTAACTAATATAAATAAATACAAAAGTCATACCAATAAAAAAAGGAAAATACAACAAAAACAAGAAGATAGAGCCTTACTGGCATAACCAGTAAGCAACTATAAATATGGAATAACTCATGAAGAGTACTGTATCACCTTGTTTTACAAACAAGTCATCATGCTCAATTGTGTTGTGATCACTATCTAGAACTGAGACTGTCATCATAAACCACCACCCAGTGCTCTAAAATGAAATTTCCTTATGTAATTCAGGTTTTCAATGGATTCACCTAAAAATCATAGGTTCATGTAAACAAAAACATTATTACTTAAGACTGAATAAATCTCAGCAGTAAGAAAAGCCTGGGTCAACAAGGTGGTTGAGGTGGCATTTGCATGTCAGACATTTCTGGAAGTACAAAAGATGCAGCAGGCATCATTGCAACATCCGAATGTTTACTAAAGATGTGCTTTTCCAGATTTCCTTTTTGTTTTGTGCGATGAGGGCAGTGTGGACATTGAAATTGTGGTTCTTTTCCACATTCCTGTCGAAGATGAAGACTGAGGCTGCACTTCCACGTATACACTTTTCCACATTGAGGACAAGGAAAATGATCCTTTCGAGGGTTGCGACTTTCTCCTCTCCTTCCACTCCAACCAGCTCTTTGGAAACCCATGGGCGATAGAGGTTGTTGAGTTTGGAGAGAGGACCATGCCCATCTCTGTAAGGCAGCTGGTATCTCCATTGGATTTCTGTTGGACAGCCAATCATGCATTCCCTGCATACCTGCGTGGAAAGAAAAGCTGAGTTAGTTAAAAAGGAGGGAAGAGGTAAAAAATTCAAATGTCTTTACCTAAAACATTTGTCTAGTTAAACTATTGTGTTATACATAAGATGAAAATGTCACTCTGGACAAAATGTGCCATGGAAAGGTTCAAGTAAACACAGAGGGAGATTTGCAAATTTATTAGTTTCATAAAAGTTGACTGAAAAGAAAACAAAACGATAACACATTTTGATGACTATAGTGATCTACACAGGTTCACCTAACAAGACTTCTTCACTTTTTTGAGCATTGATTAAGAGAAATTCAGAACAACTGTAGTCATCATGATTTAAAGTGGCTTCCGTTTTATCTTTATGTGCACTTCTAATATGCCGTTGCATATTAAATCTTTGTTTCATTTTAATGTAACAAAATGGACATTCAAATTGGGCATTCACTCCACATTCATATTTCTGATGGCGGCTCAGTGAGTCACTCCTTGAGTATGTTCTTCCACAATGACACTGATGTATCTTACGTGGCACATCTTGAGACCTGCTCCACCCTGTAACTACAAATATTTCAGAAAATTAGATTCATAGCATGCAATGGAGAGCTTGGAAACTTATAAACTGTGAAAGAAACAAATCTTTTAAGATGGGCATGGGCATTTAATAGGACATTTGGCCTCACAAGTAAATTCATTTTAGCACAAACATTAATTACAACTTTATTTTCTTTTAATTACATTACAAAAATAGCAATATCAAGAACACTAAGTCTTTAGATCTTATCTGTTTTCTGACAAATCCTGAACTTGTTTTCCACTGATGTCACTCGAATTTGAATGAACTCTGCTGATGTGAAGAGTGAGGTTGTATTTTTGCTTGCACCGTAGAGGGCAGAATGGACATTTAAATTGAGGCTGCTTCCCACATTCATACTTGATGTGCCGGGACAGCGAATCACTGCGGCTATATGAGCGAAGGCAGTCAGGGCACTGGTTTCTCACAAGTGCCATGGTTCCATCCCATGCAGTCCCAAAGTCTGTGAAAACAACCCTTCTTATTAGACAAGGCATTAGTTTCAATAAAACATAATTATGTAGAGAGTAAGCTACATTTTCTAGTTTTAGAACAAATAAACCTTAATGTTTATATTGCAAAAAAGAATAATGTAGTTGCTAAACTATGAAAATTTGAATATCAAGGAAAGCAAAAAAGTATTTTGGGGTTCTGAAATAAATAGATCTAACTTAAGTACTGTTAGTCAATTTTACAATGAAACACTATCAAACCAACATTGCATCCAAAGTCTGTTTGTCAACTCTCACATTATCATTTGGATGTTGACGCCGCATATGCAAAGTTAGATTGTATCTTTGTTTGCAAGCAAAATTACACAGAGGACAAATAAATTGAGCTTCCACTCCACATTCAAAACGAAGGTGTCGAATAAGTGTTCCTCTGTTTTTGTAAGATTTGTTGCACTTGTAACAGGTATTTTTAATTGTCTTCAAATCTTCTTGCCACATTCCGAAAAACCCTGAAACATAATTCATTTCCAATCAGTATGCAAGGAATACGAGACTTGGCTCATAGGTCTAAACAGGATATCAAGTTAACTAAACACGTCATTGAGCATCGGTATTTTATTACATATTATGCACAAACTTCATATGGCGATCTAGATGATGCTTGTACAAAAATGATTTGAGACAAATAGAGCACATTTCTGAACGAAGGTTGCCACATTCAACTTTCAAATGCCGTGAAAGAGACCCCTTATGTTGATAACTCTTGCCACATCTTGGACAGTTGTGAGAAGATTCATTTGTAAACCAAGGAAGAGAGGAAGAATCTTGAGTGAGGTAGTTTGCAGAAGTATTATCGTTGGAATCGTTGTAAGAAACATTTTCAACACCACCGCCATGCATGTCAGATGGATTTCCTAGCCAGCTTGTATCCATGCCACAAGAGACTGGTATTTCCCCATCACCTGCAGCACATAGCAAAGAAAGAATGAGAAAAATAGAAACAACAATGAAGTGATCTAAGGAGAACAACCACATACCCACTGATGCAACTGTACGTGATAGAAAGGAAAGAAACTCTTCAAATAAAAAAGAAATACACAGATGAAAAACCAATATTTATGAAAATTTTACAAGTCATCAAAATGAAATTTTTCTGTGATTTTCTTTTTAAACATTGGAAAACCAAAGAAAGTCTTGTTAGGTATATAAAGTAAGCGCACCTTGAAAATGTTAAAAATCCATTGTGACATAATTCATGAAATTCAAATGAGAAACCTCAAAAAAGTTTTAAAAATAGGAAAGCTATTAAGGCAGTCTAACTGTATGAAAATTAGAGCACAAACTAATTACAAATTATTGGCCTCAGGGTATAATAGTATCCTAGATAAAACATATACAACAAAGGAAAATGTGTCTTTTCTTTATTACCTCTAGTAAAGAATACCTCAAGGTTAACGATAAAATTACAATTGGAATTTCAGTTAAAAAGTTTGTTAACAAATAATAAAAAATTATGGATAGCAAAACTGTGGTTTGCTAAAAATAAGAGAGCTAAGGCACAGTAGATGTTAAAATGAGTTATACTTACGCTAAAATGAAAGCTACACAAGAGTTTGGCACTCAAAACTCAGCACTCACCCTGTACTCCAAGATTTGATATAACTGCGAAGGAATGTCGCTTGCCATTTTAAAAAAAGCTTGGATACAGTATTCTAATAAACTGATAATTCTTGTCCAAAACATTTTTGAGAAATATATGTCCGGCAAACAATTAATACAGAAGTTACAATACTGATAATTAGCGTGCAGTTCTTTTTATGTGTTTTCTTGCCCGGTAGGCTTACATTAGTAGTACTGGAATGCTAACAGCTCCTGACCAAAAAGAAAAAATGCGCCTGTTTTGATGACTGTTGAAAGAATAAGATGAAAATTCCAAGAACATGACTATAAGATAGACTAGAAAAAGAAAAGTCAATGCAATAAGGAAATACATGTACAAAATATGCTTCCACATACCTAATGAAAGCCATCACAGTCATAATTTCTAAAGAAACGTGAATATGGTTCAAGTTTGTCACACATGATTAGATCTACTACTTTTGTGACAACGTAAACCCTTGAATTTGAGAAAGAACACATGTGCCTGATTCCATGACTAGTTAGTTAAGTTATATGCACATTTCTAGTAGAACCCATTTTTACAATCCTTAAAACTATAAATTATTTAACAATTTAACAGTACAGCTTTTCTGTGCCATGTTAAATCACACTAAATGTGATTACTTTGGTTAAATACTAATTTCACAAACTGTTTTACTTTAAAATCAATAAATGTGTCAATTAAAGGTTCAACTGTTATAATAACAGTCTGGTGAGAAAGTTCAACTTGTTTCAGCGTGGGCAACATTAGAGGTCAACCCGTGTGCACTAGTGTGGGTTATAGCATGTTGACGTAGATTATCCGGTCGGGAAAAGCGACGCCCGCAAATGGGACACACAAGCTTCATACGTGCTCCACCACACTCGTAACGAACGTGACGGTATAAAGTACTCCTGTATTTGTAGAGACGACCACATATTGGACATTCGTGAAAGTCCGGCCATGGTGGTGTGGATCTTGATCCAGACATTTTGGCATTGGCTGAAAAAAATATAACTGCTTTACTCGAAGTTGCGATCGAACTGCACTTGATGGTGCATTAACAAGTTCACTTCAGTTGAATAAAAGGTTTAAAACCAAAAGTGGTTAAATCCATGCAATTCCAAACCTTGCGTCACAAATTGAGGTTCAGTGGTTAAAATAATTAAGTGAAAAGTTTTTAGCTTCATTCGTGAACAGAACTGAAGTACAGCAGTTTTATGTTAATAACAAGGAGACAGTCATCAATAATAGTCAATATTTGCGTACAAGAAAAACCCTGTGCAGGAATTCCAGATTTTTAAAAACAATTTGGTATGAAAAGAGTAAGTGAAGTAATTCGCAGGTCTCAAGTGGTTGCCATTTATTCTTTAAATGAACAATGACATCACAATAAATATGTACTTATTAATGTATAAAATTGTCCTAGATCACCTTAACAGTTAGGATAGCAATTGCTGCCCAGAAATGATTAGTAACAGCACACAAATTAGATTAGTGAATTAAATGCAGCAATGTTACAGTGTTACAAATCTTCTTTAATGCAAGCATCTTTTGACTTGTGATATGCCAATATTACCAAAGGATCATGTATATATTAAGGAATGACTGAAAGAAAACAATTTGGGTGTTATGGGGAAAAGGGATGGGGGGGGGGGATAATAGTTACTAGTAAAAAGAAAACCTAACTACATAGTGTAAAAAGTAAAAAATCAATTTATATGTTCAATATATAAAATTTCATAGACAATTTTTATAGATACATATATATATATAAAGAGAGAGTTAATATTTTCCATATTTTAAAATAATTATTTCAAGAATCCCTAAGATTCCTACAAATTTTAACAAAGGTCACAGCACAAATATCACCTTTCAATTATCCTAGTGAAAAAGGCCAAAGGTAGGACAAGTAATACTGGATTAGCATGGTAAACATTTCTAAAGCACTGTACATTTAGAGCATGAGATACCTTACAGAGATATGTAAAACGGTTCATTGAATCTTTTCAAAGCAAACTTTGTTCTTCGTTTACAATTGTACTTGGGTAAAAATGACTCAAGGTAAAACAACTTGGTAATATTCACAGGATTCTTCCTGAAACTTCACAAATACTTGGGAAATGAATTAGTTGGAGCTTTGCATTCAAACTGATGTCTCATGAGCCCACTGCGATACTTGTAACGCCGTCCGCACTTCTCACAGCACACACCAGGAAACATTGCCCTCGCTGCAGCCACCATCGCTGAAAGGAGTGAAAGAGTTTGTGTCCAATTGATGTCCAATAACTGTTACTTGAAATGTAGACTTTCTTAAGTAAATACAGGGGGTCTTCAAAGAGATAAAATTTCAACAATAATAACATAATAAAAAGTACTTTTAGACACAATGGCATGCACATGTCCAACACCAACAGACAAGCACATAAACATTTTTAAATGCTTGAAACATGAATCGTGGAGTACTAAAAGATAACAGAAGCACAATTTGAATGCAAGCAGCATGTGATAGGATATATGTAGATTGTAGTTTTTCTGAAACCATGGTTCAAGTGTAAAGTTTCTCCATAAGATTGTTCAACAAAATTTTGAACAGTGCAGTATAAAAAACAATTACTGATGAGGTACTTTAAGGTCAATTTTCTTAAGGTTTAAACGGTTTTCCTTACATTTGGCACAGTCAAAAAAGAGAAACCAACAAATAACTTATTGAATGCTGCATTGGTTCATCACACAGCACAACACAGTCTATTGTCATTGTCAGCTGAGGTATGAGGGAAGTGAAACTACAATCATAACAATTGATAAATCAATTGCAATGTGTAACTTCTGTGGGGAATATTTTAGATTAATAATTAAACTTTATAATACACATTATAAAACAAGTGCAAAACAACAAAACCAAACCTCTATTCTTCATTATTTCTAGGTACTAATGAAGCTGACATAGGTGAGCATACAACACCTCTTTTCAGAAAAGAGGCAACAATAACAAAAATAAATTTCTATGAGGAAATGGTAACTGATGAGCCTAAGATAATTTATGTTTCTGAACATTTCTCTTAAAATAATTAGTAATGGATTAAATTATTTTCTTTGTGCGGTTGATAGAGCTATCATATCCATAAACGTTTTGGTTGTTTCTTCCCTTTCAGAGTAATGTTTGGAATTTTTCTGATGCGTCCTTAATACATCTCTCCGACTAAACCTCCGTTGACACACAGGACAAGCAAATTGTTTGTCAACACCACACTCATATCGTAAATGTCTTTCTAACGTGTAAAGCACTGCATACTTTCGAGCACATCTGGGACAACTGTAATGTCCATTCCACGGTGGTTTTACTTCTTGATGAGATGGGAGGGAAGGATACCAGGTATCTGGAACACAATATTCACCAGCCCACCTTAGCATTTAACCAAAGGCAATGCAAATTTGCCATGTCAACTTTGAAAGTTGGATTAACATGGGGGTATCTTGTCAAATAAGCAAGATCTTGAAACAAAGATTGATAAAACTAAATATTTTAATTTTTATGAGAAGAGAGCTAATGCATGAGGGTTTATGTAACATCTGACTTGATAGATTGCCTCAGAATCCTGACAGACTGATGTGCAGAAGCAACAGATACAGTCACCAGGAAGACGTTTCAAACACGTACACACACACTCACACAAAAAAACCATTGAGTCTAAATCTTCAAAAACTTTCAAGATAGATATGCTTATTTTCATACGTTTTAAGTGGCTGTGGGAATGTGGTTGAATAGAGAAACTAAGAAATACATTCTCAAGATTGCGAAAGGCACCTTAAACCAAGCCAAAAACAGCTAAAACATAAAAGCTTATGACATGTTATACTATTCTATAGACCTGGCAACTTTGGTTTGTCAATTAATCTCCAAGCCTGCTTCATTTACCATTATAGATTGAAAACCTAAACCTACACTTTCATAATAATAAATCTTACTTTCCAAGTACAAACCAAATAGAACTATAACAACACTTCTACCATCCTAAATTGCTTCAGGCATTATGGAAATAAAGCCTAAAATATGTCAACTCTTTCAAATCAATTTTCAAAAATTCCCCTTAACAGGTAAGACTTACCCCTATTAAGTTTTCAAAATGGGAAAAATAAAAACCATAAAAATGTAACAAAGCCCACTAATTATAATGGTAGTCTCCAGATGATAAAAAATTAAATAAATATCTATGCTTTGAAACTCGCGAAAAATACAACCTCCACTTTCTTCTAGTAGCAACAAAGAGAGTCAAAGGGAATAAAAGTCAATGGGGTTGAAATATTAGATTAGGAAATTAATAGTGAATCCATTTTCCCAGAAAGCACCTGGGAGACAGTGCAAGAAAACAGCAAGAGAAATGAAAGCATGAGAACATACTCAAGATACGGAAAACACCACCACACAACTGTTTACAGCATGCAATCACCAAAAAGCTTATTTTCAAACACTAATGTGGCAAGATGTAGGGAATTTCATAAAATTAATATGTGTCCTACGGTAATATAAATTGCCCCCAAAATTTTGAAAGCATGTACTCAAAAAGTAATGATAAAATGTAAGACGGTGCTAAGCTCACAATTATTGGAAAAAAATAATTGTAGATTTCTTAAACTGGAAAGATGTCTGATTCTCTTAAGCTAAGGGGAGCAAAGACAAATAGAAAAAGACATGAATTGGAAATGGATATTTGATTGAAAACAAAGAATTTCACTGTGACTCTTTCAGGCAATTTCATTTCATCAGTATATAAGGGAAACTTGGTCAAAAAATTTAATCTCAAATTTCTATGTGTGTCAACTTAATGTCAAGCAAATTAAAACAAATATGAGGTCACTCACCCTGCGCGTTTCTGTGGCCTCCAAGAGATTCTTGTGACAGGAAGGAGTCTTCTGGTCTCTCCATATGCCAGCTGTAACCTGAAAAATAACAACAAATCTGAAGATAGATATATTTTCTTCTCTATAATTCTATTTTATTAAAATTACAATAGACGATGATAGCAGAACTCACCTCCTCCATCAGTTTTATGTGATGGTCCTGCCTCTACAGCATCTTCGGGGGTCATATCTTCATCATCATCATCTAGTTCAATGAATTCAGATTTTGGTTCACACAGTACACTATCTACCAATGAGGCTGATTGTTGATTTGATGGGTCACTTTCACTAAACATTGATGTAGTTAAAAATGGTGGAGGCCGACTAGTCACTTCATCAGGTGGGACAGAACTACAATCTTTAGGTGCAATCGGAGGGGAGGAAGGGTTAGTTAACCTAGAATTAACAGACACCCTAGGCGGAGGAGAGGAGCTGGGATCTAATACTAATTCACTGGAACTCTCTTCAGTAACATCATCCTCACTGCCAGAAGGATGCCGACGCCTCTTCCGCCGTGGTGGTGGACTTAAATTATTGCTTCTAGGCGTCATGGGTTCCTCATCAGGCTTTGATGGAGGCCGTGAGGTTCTTGTGTCGTTCAGTTTAAGTTTTGGCTGAACCTCATGATTTGGAGCACTATCTGACAGTCCCTTGATTTGAAGTGACTCTGCAGCTTTCAAGAAAGTACCAAGCTGATCTTGAGAAATCTTGACCTCTCCTCTATACATGTAATCCAGCATTGCTTTCAGTTGGTCGAACTTTACATCTTTCATGATGAGTATAGGATGTTGCTCATAGTGTTGTCGCAGCAGGTCCTGAAATGAAATAAAAAGATAAATAAACTCTATGATATTGTACTGAGGTGGAGTTGGGTATTAAGCTGAACGGGTACTCACACTAAAAAACGGGCTACAAGCAGATAACACCACTTTGTGAGCCCGTAAAAACTTCCCCTCAGCTGCTAATGTGCAGTCAACAAGAATTTCCCCCTCAAGTAACGTGTCAAAAACTGATATCAAAGTATTTTGATGGTTGTTCCACCTCAAACAAAACTGTTGGTCGGCCATTATCACAGCTGTAGAAAAAGAAGAAAAACACATTAAAATACTTATTAGTGATCCCTAAATAAAAAGTGATATTAGGCAAAAAAACAATAAAAATGAACATTACAATCTACATTAATAACACATGGTATTGGCATGTGATACACTTTTCAGAGGTTAGGATTATTTGAATACAACTTACTCCAACTAACAGCAAGAGTAATAGGTTTCAAAGAACAAAACACGATTTCACCTATGCTTGTTAAACCACTTGGCCTAGCAAAACAAAATTTTAAAAAATGCCCAGTCTTCCTGCAGTAATGTTCAAGTTTCCCCGAGGGATTCTGCATTTTAAAGATAGCAACCCAATGCATGATAAACCAACATATGACACTCAATGCAGTGAGGAAGAACTGTGAAGATTTGATAACATAAAAAAATAACCATAAACGAAGGGAAGGAGGGTGAATATGTCCGAATGGTAAAGACTAGAAACCGTATTGTTTACAAACAAGCAAAGATGGGTGTACTGTCAAAACAAGGTTAGGTGCTCCAAGCTACTGAGAAGAGACTGACTAGGGGGAAAAATATCCTCAGCGAAAGCTTACAGAAAAAAAATCATAAGTGAGTACGTAGCAAACATACAGCTGTAGCTTAAGAGTACTTTCTCTGACAGAAATAGAGGAGAATTGACACCAAATTGGTCCGATCCTTAACAGAAAGGTATCCACTCGAAACTTGCTGCTGACGCAGGATATATACATATACCTATGCAATATCATATATCATCTGCTCTCGGAGAGGAGGAAAACGAAAAAAACTCACCTCCGACAAGAGCGAAAACTAAAAAAATCGTAAAATAGATTCTTAAATTGAGTTTTACAATTGAATACGCCAAAATGTAATGTCAAGGTGTGTGTACAGCTATTCACTAACCCCCATTCGAAATTTTCTCAAAAGGGGGCACATAGGTATGAAGAAAGGCTCGCACAAAAGCTAAATGAACTAAATATACAGTATTGTGTAGTACGAATCTGTTTTAAGATAACAAATTCAATGCACACTTGTGCAAGAGAACACCGGGCCAATAGCATTACATCTGATTTTTGGGGTCACACAAATTATGTCAATCATGAAATTTAATGAATTTTGGTGGTTGTCATACCTGTAAAAGTTCTCCTAAGTTAAAATTATTAATTGAAGAACGAAAAATAAAATAGTTTAACACGCAACACAAAAACATTCAGGTAACAAAGTTCCAATTTACAGAAACAATGGAACGGCGTATCCATTCTCCGATAGATCCCGGTAAATGGAAAACCCGATGGATCCTGGAGGGATATGAAGCGGAATCACCGATCTTCCTTTGTTATAAAGGCGCTCGGGTTTAAATCGGCGTTCTGGGGAGGCAAGGTGAGAGGGGGGAGAGTCAGAAATATTTGTGATTTTGTGAACGGTTTCATCTGCTCCAAATGATGACTGCTCAAATTTTGCCTTTCCCTTTCCTCTATTGTTGGAGAGATGAAGAAGGCGTGACAGAGGGATACACCAGGATACACGTATCCACACGATCCACACGGCGGAGTAGTGGAAGGTAGTGGTCGTAGTGGTGGGGGACTTGTTTGTTGTGTGTGGGTGGGTGAAGAAAAGAAGAGAGGAGATAGAGAGAGGGAGAGAGATAGAGAGAAAGGGAACAGTAGAGGAGAAGAGGAAGTTACATTTTCATTCGTTCTCGCACTCCGCAGGGTGTGCACGTCATTGTTGACATTTACATGCAGTTGTCAAACAGGCATTTAGTGACAAAAAATACCGTATTAGAAAGATAGATTTGTATCATAGGTATCTTCGAGTGCAAAAAGTTGCCGGGAATTTGACTTTGGCCGCCATGTTTAGTTGTGGTAGCAGTAGCGAAGCGTCCTCTGCCTATGCCCTGTTCTTATCGGGATTTCTGGGGCATTTCGCCCCTTCTGCACCACCTTTTCGAGGAACTAGATGAGAAAAGGGACAAGAAGAACGGTGAAAAGTCGAAAGAGAGAGAGCTGAGTAGGAGGAAGAATTAGGTTCACAACAAAATCGCTGAAAGTGTTTATTGTGGTGTCTGCTGTGAGATTTTTAAGCCGCTGAAATATTACAATTGTCCGGTGAGTATTATACTATGTCGCTGTTTTCGGTTGAGGGCTGGCTGGGTTGGGAATCTTATAATATCATGAACTGATGAACCAACTTCTGCAATCAGCCCTGAGACCGCGCTAATCTCTGGTGGCGTTACTTTCGATCGAAACGCCTATTGATGGACGTGAGAAAGTGGTGGTTCTGTCATCTCTCATCCTTCTAAAATCAGCGAAGTTTTTGAAGGAAAATGTGTATTTTGGGGGCAACAGAGTGCCTCGGTTGTGTGCTCAGTGTTTGCGTCAGTAAACCCAAGAATTATCGGCAGGTTGATTGGTTAGGTGTGAATTGTATTTCAACCATTCGGAGCCTGTTTTTGATGTTTTTAAAGGGTAGTAAAAATGGCACATATCGTTAATTTTGTGTATTGCTGCTGGGACGTCCCACTATTTAAGAGGACATAGCCGATATACGCTCTTATGAATCTGACTGACCAGAATCTGCCATTCCAATGGGAACCGCCGACATAACATAGAACTAATACGATCCAGTAATTCCGAAAAGTGCTTTCTTTGTGTATAGTGATCTTTTTTGTTTGACAGACTTGAGAAAGTTTTCGCGGATTACCCTCTCTAGACGTCTATTATAGACCGACATGTGCGGTAAGTCCTTTTCTAACCTATTCAGTGTCTGAGCTGTCAAAAGTATTGTATCATTTTCGAAGGAGTTAATTTGTTTATGTTTATTTGACACTCTCAGTTGGTTCGTGCTTTGTTTCACCTTTTCTTTATTAAAGTCTGATGTACAACTTCTTATAATTAGAGTGAAATTTTGATTTATGCTGACGTCTAATGTTAGCTCACTATGAGATTTATTCCCTGATACATAGTCGATAATCAAGTTAAACAATAAAAATGAAAAAAAATTCTATGATGAAATAAGTGTACCAAGGTCAATGTAGAGCCCGATTCAGACAATTTAAAATGAATTCACTGGCAATTTTGAGGGGCATGCGGGCAGCCCTATAAAACTTCTTTTCTCACTTACTTTTTTTTCTTACTGTTGTGGAAGTACTATTAAAACTGTAATGTTGCATATATTTTTCTGTTGTGTAGGACCAGCAGTAGACATCACCTCAGCCATGGCAGGGCAGCACTATTGTTTAAGGTGGAACAACTATCAGTCAAATATGACCTCAGTGTTTCACCAGTTACTGCAAACTGAAGCATTTGTTGATGTCACCCTCTCTTGTAATGAAGCCTCTCTGAAAGCTCATAAAGTTAGTGCCCTTTCATGTTTATCTTATACCAATGATCAAGATAATTTTCCATCACTTACATTAATTTTGAAATAATTCTTTTTCTGTTAAGGTTGTGCTGTCAGCATGTTCCTCATATTTTCAAAAGCTACTTTTAGAGAATCCATGTAAACATCCAACAATCATTATGCCTCCAGATGTGTGTTTTAATGATCTTAAGTTTATAATTGAATTTGTGTACCGAGGGGAAATAGATGTGTCTCAGGCAGAGTTGCAGGTAATTTATTATTTGATATACCTTCATTCCATTGTTATTCTTCAATATTCTGGTGATAATTTTGGCTTTTATTCCTGTTCTAGAGTCTTCTTAAGACAGCTGATCAGTTGAAGATAAAGGGCCTATGTGAACTTCCAGAGGGAAGAGAAGGAGGTGTAGTTATTCCCTCAGCCCAAGTAACACCACTACCACCCAATGCTCGGAGACGTACAATAACAAAATTTCGACGCATTGCTGGTCACAAAGGACGACGGTTTGAACCTAGAGGTCGACCACCTATGTATAGAGGAACTGCAACTGTGAAACAAGAACAACCCCAACCCTCCCCTCAGCACCATCAGCAACACCATCAACAACAACAGCAGCAACAACAGCATCAACAGCAGCAGCAAGTTCTTCAGCAGCAACAACAAATGCAACATCAACAGCACCAGCAACATCAAATGCATCCTCAAACTCACCTTCAACCAAATGCTGGTCACATACAGGTGGGTTGCATCCATATATCGACCCCTCCAGAGCTTTCATTGATTGATCAATTTGATATAGAATTGTATTCTGAATTGTGTTTCACAGGTGGCTAATGGGATGACTGTCAATGTTGGCATGACAGTGGCTACATCTACCGATGAAGAGCGCAGTGGTGGAGGTCATATGGCCACAGGTGATATTCCTGTTGTTATCCTTGAAAGCCGTCCCCACTCCCATGGGCATACTGGCCAGCCACAAATGCATCCACACCTTCAGCATCATCAGTTAACAACAGCAGTGAGTACAATGCAGGTAATACTACTTGGATACTGATGCGCTTTTTCAGTTGAGTTCATTCTCATTTCTATTTTTGTTTCAGGTTTCCCCTGTCCTCCTTTCTCATCAAGGTCACTTACAACAGCATGGTCTTTCACTTCCACCACCTCAGCCTCAGCAAATGGAACAGCATAATTCACATTCAGTTCATTCAGGTCACTCTGCTCATTCAGCTCACAGCAATAGTGCCAGTGATGTTGAAATGCCTCCAGAAGTCACTCCACCAGCCCCCTCTGCAACCCCTGTTCCTCTTATGGCCATCCATGAAGATTCCATACCCAGAAGTAGAGATATGGCAGGTGTGTGTTACATCCATAAAATAATTAATGTTCCATATTTTCTTGTTCTTGTATTGTAAGTTTTATATCATGTTTCAGTGGATACGTCAGGAATAGCTCACAATACTGAAGACGAAAATGTTAAAGTTAAGTTTGAAACCCTTCGAGCCATGGAGCAGGGAGATACTATAAATATGGATAGTCATATGACTGATCGAGTAAGTAAACCTTCAGAATTTATATCTAAATCTTTCTTTAGCAGATTAATTTTATTTAATTGTACTGCAAAGTTTGACCTTGTCTCTTTTCTGATCAGCAACAGCAACAACAGAACATGGGTGAGGATGATCATACAATGCACACTATGATGATAACCCCAGAACTTCTTGGTCTGATACCATCTTCTTCTGGTCATTCAACTGATTCCACAGGTAAGGGATAATGCTTTCCATGTTGAGTTTAATATCTACAGGCGGCTTTGACTTTTTGGTCATTGGTAGTGGTAAAATATTTGAAACATGAACTATTTTTTCTCTCTTCGTAGCTCCTTCGCCAGCTGATGGTCAACCCGAGCAACCAAAAGGCCCAGGGGGACCAAAGACATGGACACAAGAAGATATGGATGCAGCACTGGATGCTTTGCGCACGCAAAATATTTCACTAACCAAAGCAGCTACCATGTTTGGCATTCCCTCGACTACATTGTGGCAAAGGGCACATCGTCTTGGTATCGACACACCGAAGAAAGAAGGTCCCAACAAGTCTTGGTCTGAAGATAACTTGAATAATGCCCTTGAGGCGCTCAGAAGTGGATCTATATCTGCCAATAAAGCCAGTAAAGCTTATGGTAAGTGTCTTTTCTTGCTTTACTCACTTGTTTTCAATTTTTGTTAAATTATAATTTCTGGATCTTTTTGATCTAATTCCTAGCAATCAACCCTATTTTTGGTCCTCTTTTTTTTCTGCCAGGTATTCCTAGCAGTACTTTGTATAAAATTGCTCGGAGAGAAGGCATCAGATTAGCAGCACCTTTTAATGCCGCCCCAACAACTTGGAACCCTGACGATTTGGAAAGAGCTCTGGAATCTATCAGATCAGGTCAAACTTCTGTTCAAAGGGCAGCTGCTGAATTTGGAATTCCCACTGGTACATTGTATGGACGATGCAAGCGTGAGGGTATAGAACTCTCTAGAAGTACTCCCACTCCCTGGTCAGAAGATGCAATGCTGGAAGCTCTGGAGTCAGTGAGGTATGCATACTTGTTTTTATGTTCACCTCATCTTGCTTCTTTACCCTTCAATTTTACGTATTTCTTAATTACAGAGTAGGTCAAATGAGCATCAATCAAGCAGCCATCCATTACAATCTACCTTACTCTTCACTTTATGGTCGTTTTAAACGTGGAAAGTATGAAGCAGACCATCCAAGCGGAGATGAATCCATGGACGCCCCAGTTTCTCCCAACATTCAGCCTCAAATCATGGTTCTACCTTACTCTGTCAGTGTGAGTTATCAGATTACAATAGGTTGCATTTAGTTTACTGAGTTCTTTTCGCAGGTTGACTGTTTTGTATCTTTTAAACTTAGGTCTCTCAACATGCACAACAGCAGCATCAGCAAACAGCCCAACAACAAGCACAGGCTGCAGCAGCCCAGCAACAAGCTCAACAGCAGGCAGCCCAAGCCCAGCAGGCGCAGCAGCAGGCCCAGCAAGCTGCTGCAGCTCAGCAAGCTGCTCAGCAGGCTGCACAACAACAAGCTCAGCAGGCAGCGCAGCAGGCAGCTCAGCAACAAGCTGCTCAAGCTGCTGCGCAGGCTCAGCAACAGCAGCAACAAGCAGCTGCTCAACAGGCGCAAGCGGCTGCTCACCAGATACACCAGCAGCAGCAGCAACAACAGCAGCAGCAGCAGCAGCAGCAGCAGCAGCAGCAAGCGGCCGCCCAGGCCGCTCAGGCTGCTCAGGCCCAGCATTCCATGGGACAATATCAGCCTCATAGTACTAGTTGAGTAAGCAATTGGCTTACGGAGCATTTATGATTTTGCCAATCGAGATGGCCACACATGTGATGTCTGATGTCATGTGATTCTTGCTCTGGAGCCAATCAATTATAGTGTATTCTTAGTTGAGACACTTCTTAAAAAGATCAACTGTCTTTCAGAAAAGCAGTTTCCTTATGAATGGTGCTCTCCCTTTTAAAGCGCAACTGGATTCAAATAATCCATGTGGTCCTAAAGTTTTAAATAAGGCCACACTGCAGTCTTCTTTTGGAAAGAAAATCTCCTGCCGTATCTTCTGTATGAATGTTGATTGATTTGTACCATGGTTAGCTGTGTATTCTAGATCTTATCAATTTTGAAAAGTGCTGTGTTTACAAAACATGCATACCTATTTACTTATGATATAAGAGTTTTTGAGAGCTTGGCTTAATTTTACTCCCTTACTTTAAATATGTTAGGAAAGTGTGTTTCCTATTCTTTGTATCTGTTGGTATATTGTACATCACAAGTATTAATCGTTGCATTGTATGTATTATATTAAAGAAAAAAGTATATGCGGCCATGCAGCCAAGGCAGCTACTCTCCTTTGTTTCAGGAGGCCAATGTACTCTAATAAGATGCTATTTAAGACTGAAGTCACTTATATTACGATAAAATATCTCTAATTAAAATCTATTGCTGAATGCTTTATTATTAAGCATGAGACAGCCTACGTTTTAGTTGTTTTAGTTTTCTTACATTGTTGGCACTTGTTAAACTTTTCAATTAATTTTCTTTTTTTTTCCTTTTAAAATTTTAACTGTTGCCGTCAAGGCATGTTGTAATTTGTTACAAATGTTGCATTATAAGAGGACAGTGCTTATATTCTGTGCTTTCCTTAAAGATTTCTACTTTTTTTTTCTTTTTTTACTATGGGCGGTTTGTTTCTGGCATTTTTTCATCTCATCTAGTCTGCAAAAGTGATTTATAAATAACAAAAAAAGATTTTTAAGTTTAGTTCAAGCTCTGAAGTATTTTGGGGCAATATTCGCAGCAATAATTCTCAGTACTGATTTGTCATATTTTTGCTACCTATTTTCAAATTGACAGTTTCATTTTCTTTCTGATGAGAAGACTGGTAATAAATATGTGAGATTAAATGCCTTCCCGGGAGAGGAGTCTGTACTGCTAGGCTCTAACTAATTCTGACACTTAATGACAGATTCATTACTGCTTGCCTGATTTTTCTCTTTTTCTAAAAAGTCTGTTTGCAAACAGAAGATCAATCTGTTCTGTTTTGTCTTGTTTCCTAGTGCGTCTCTTCAAAACGTGAAAAATTTATGAATAAATTACTGTGAATGGTAACAACTTCATGCAATTGGTTGTCCAATGACCTTGCACGATGATAGTAAAGCGTAAGTTCTTTGAGAAATTGTTACCATTTCGCCTGAACTGATGCAGTCTCCTGCCACTCTCCTCTCCTGTCTTTTTTTGTAAATTCCCTTGCTGGCCAATTTTTGTTTCCTTACTATAACATTGAGTCAGTTCTTGATTCTCCTAACAGCTTGCTTTCTGCTCAGAGCGTATTCACCCTTTTTTTGTGTGTGTGTATGTATCTGAATGTTTTGAATTCAAGCTAATTTTAAAGTTTATCCTGTATGTTGAGAATTGATAATGTACATGTTACGTATGTTTTATTTTTATTTTATTTTAAATTAATATTTTATGTTCAAGGGTAATATAAAATTTCCATAAGAGTTTTAGCACACAGCTCCCGCTGAACAAAACACCCATGTTTCATAGTCTTTTGTTGAGTTACTTTACTCTCTTACCATTGATCATTTTATTTTGTCTTTTCATCTCTTCTTGCTTGTTAAAGAATGCGTCATGCATCCTCGATTTATCTGTCTATGAAATTGTTTGGATCCATTCCTCTAATTTGCTTGAAAAAAGAAAGTATTTTGGAAGTCTTTTATTTCTTAACTAGGTTACTAGCTGCAGATTTATTGTTTTTGTTCTGTTTTTCTTTTCCTTTTCAGTTTTGCCCTACAATATGTTTACCATTGATGAAGATCTGGATTTTGTTGCATAGATACAATATGCATTGTGATAGGAGAATCCTCCATTTAGTGCTTATAGGCTAGTATTTGCAGTGTATCTGCTCCTATACCCCTGTTATGATCAGAGGTTAAGGAGTGGGCTTTAATTTACTTTTCTTTTCCTTAAATGATTCTGTTTGTTTCTTTGAATGTTGAGTGCTTTGAGCTTAGATAAAATGAATCTTCCTTAGGTCTTGTACATAACTCGTTTATTTATCTTTTGGAACTTTATGGAAATTCTAAATCTTATTTTGTGTGGATCCACAAGTGTCCTCGCAATAATCAACTAAGGCCTCTGTATTTGTACTTACTTAAATTACTGATCTGATCTGTATTGTAAGGACATATTTCATATTTCTGAATCTGAAGTTTCTCATCATGTGACTCTCATGCCAGTCTGGTCAAATGTGTGGGCTGGCAAATTTTGAACAGAAATGTTAGTATCTGTAAATATTGTAAGTAGCCTTAATTTAAAGCTATTGGTAGAGCCTAACTGCCTGTATCCTACATTCTTAGACTGATGGAGACATATTTATGAGAGTACTGTCATAAATTATTTCATGTTAAGTCTGACTACAATTTAATCTTTAGAGTATTACAGTTACCCTAATTTGTAGGATTCATAATTGGTTTCATGGAAAATTGAAAGGCATAGTACAAAGAATGTGGGTCAGAATCACAGTGCCTTCCATTGTGACTTGATTAGCCTCAGAGACCAATAGGTGTAAGGATCAGAGTGAAAATGTGCATACCTCCAAACCCCTCAACTACCTATTGTGCATTAAAATCATGATTTACCCCCACTTTTCACATATTTTTTAGTAATTTAATTTAAACTCCCGGTCGCATTTTGTAATAGGACTTTCATCTGTTTTATTTCCTCAGTATTTTTTCAATACATCTGAAAAACAAAGTTGGTTGGTGATCATGAGACAAACATGCATATCTTTTTATCTGAACTTATTGCAGTTAATTATAAGAACCTTGATGTATTGTGTGTGTGTGTGTGTTTGTGTGTATGTGTGTGAGAGAGAGAGAAAGAAAAAAAATCAATTTAAAATAAGGGGAGAAGGGGCAGGGGAGGGGCGGGAAGCAGGCTTAGCTGTGCAAGAGGCTTGCATTTATGTTTCTTAAGAAAGTTAAGATTCTGTTTAGAAAATGTGATACAAAATGTTGTGTCTACTTTATTGATTATTATCAATACTGTTCACGCAATGTATAATTATGCCATTTGTTTCAACAAGAGACTTATTTCCATAACTGTTTTGTCCTGCAATGTTGCTATCAAGATGAGTGATCAAATAAATTTGTAGTTCTAAAGGTAACTTTGACAGTCTTCCTTGTATCCTTTTCTTGTTTTCAAACTCTAAATTTGCGTCTCTCATTTCTTTACTGGCTTGTGCTCATAAGATACTGGTGTGATTGATTATTTGCTACCCTCTGGTAATTATTTCAAAAATTTGATGTATGAAATTATAAAGCTTTGAGGGAAGGTAGTTTCTGCTCACTGGTGAGATGCCTGCTGTTGAAACAATATTTTGGCTGTAAAAAGACCTGTGATGAATATCAACATGTAGTAATAGATGCCATTGCAATGTTATTGTAAATACAGTACAAAATTGCTATTATCCACTCATAACCCAGTAGTTTTGCTGTAATGTATACCATTATTGTATCATGTCAGTAAGGACAATTATGATGTGGACTCATAATTGTTGTGTAAATAATGAAATAATGCATCACATCTGCTTACTTTTCAAAGAATTGTTGTAGTATCTGAATCCCAGAAGTTGTAGAAAAGTTGTATAAAACTCTATTGAAATTGTAATCAATGTACATTGAAGGAAGGTAGTCAGTCTAAGTCAGGCCAGTGAATTTGTATAAATCAATTAGTTGTGTATGATACGTGAATGTAGGAGAAATTGTGCAATGGAAAGTTATCTCATTCCAATAAATTAATTTGTTTTGCCATCGCCAAGTTATGGAAATTATAGTATCCTCATTTGTCCAAAACACACGCTTCAATACTGATATGGGTAGGTATATGACAGAAAACAAGACATATTTGAATTAAAGAGACATTAAACACAAACCTAATTTTGAAATAAAGAGAATGTTTGCTCTTTATTACTAGCATTCATAGAAAACAATCGCTCCTAAAAGGCAAAACAATGGGATACGCGGTTTGACATAAAGTTGTCCGACCATACATGGAATGCAAGAGACATCTGAGCGAAGCAGCCTTCAGAACGATTTGTGGTTGTTCAGGCGAAAATAATGGGACAGTTGCCGCATCCCACTGCACGTAGACGTAGAACTGTCAATATCTTTGATCAGACGGACAATAACATTTTGCCGTTCATTTCAAAGTGAGGTGCCTTGTCGCGCCATATTTCATGGACTACGAACAACCCATGCGGCCTAGGTTTGTTTGTACCACACCACTCATATTTCTCCATTTTTTTTGACAAATGAGTCCTGCTGGTATGAATTGAGTGAATATGTTTGCTACAATATTCAATATGTCTACCCTTGTGAGGAAAATTCATGCAGGAGCACCAATTAATCCAGTAAAAAGTGTTGCTGCCCATGGACAAACTGTTGAACCAATCTGCGTCACCAATCCCCCTCCACCGGCAGCGCAGCCAATCAGGACGCTGCGAGACGACGCCGCTCTCCGCCGGTCCCGGCGTCGGCGTCGGCGTCAGAACACAAACTGCTCCCATGGAGAAAAGACGTACGAGGTGAACCGAAGAGTATATTAGGTAAGCCTTCGTTTGTCAAACCAAGATCTCTAATTTTATCTGACGGACTCCTTATCTATCTGACGATAAGGTTTTACGTTAATTTATCATTCTAGTTCAATAACTTAACGCTTCCTGGTGTTAATCCCGTCGCTGGTCTTGCTTATGGCCGGCCTTGCTGTTTGCCCCACTTAGTATGCTCTCCAGTATTTTCTGAACCACACTTAACCAAATGCTTGTAAGTCTTAGAACTAAACATTTTTATTGGAAACAAGGGAAATAGCTTGTAACTTTTCAGTCAAATAGGTTTTTGTTGCCTGGGAAGCAAAAAACTTATGTTTGGTGTAGTGGGTTATCATTGTCCAGGCCGGTTTCAAACACATTTTTGCTGCCTGAAAACCTCTTTTCCTGTTCACTTGCCTAATCCGTGTTTGGAATTCCTCCATGTAATTCTAAGCCTTGCCCGTGCTTGGCTTGGCTTGGCTTGGCTTGGGTGTGGTTACGGCCGCCATTTTGATGCTTCAAAATGTCAAAGGAGTCTGAAACAGCATATTGATATTTTGCGCTGTATGGCTACCTGCTGTCTTTCACCAGTTAGTACATCACTTAACCCATATTTCTTTTATTTCAGAAATCTGTGATAATGGCAGACCAACAGTTCTGTCTAAGATGGAACAACCACCAAAGCACACTGATCTCAGTGTTCGACTCTCTATTGGAGAGGGGTGCTATGGTGGATTGCACTCTAGCAGCAGAAGGGCAGTGTTTACAAGCACATAAAGTTGTGCTTTCAGCATGCAGTCCATATTTAGAGGTAAGCATTGATTCAAATTTTAAGTGAAGTAATTAGCGTTTCTTATTGCTACTTGTATTTAAAAAAAATTATTTTGTTTTGTGCTCTGTTTTAATGTCTTTTTTTTCCTCCCTTTTTCTAGACTTTGCTGAGCCAGCATTACGACAAACACCCTATTCTGCTCTTGAAAGATGTGAAGTTCTACGAGCTTCAAGCCATGATGGATTACATGTACCGTGGAGAAGTGAATGTGGCGCAAGATAAATTAGGCATGTTTTTAAAAGCTGCAGAATCCTTACAAATTAAAGGATTATCAGACAGTGGGGGAAATGAACCACCTGATACAGGTGGGGGGACAAGTGCTAAACGGACTAGTAAAGGTGCTCCAGTAACAAATGTTCCACGCTCTGGCGGTGGATTAACAGTGGAAAGGCGGAGGCCACAACAACCTCAAACTTCGCAAGTAGTGGACATTCCTTCAGATAGTGGTTCTCGTGATGGTAGTGAATCCCCTTCATTAAGAAGAAAACGACGGCGAAGAACATCAGGTGGTGATGATAGTGCTGTTGAGGGTGACTCTTCCAATACTGGGGATGTGTCTCGTACACAGTCCTCGGCCCCCCTTAGTTCTGACCAAGTGCCAATGAATGGTTCAGCGGACAGTAATGCCTTAGGAATTCTTTCATCCCTTATGGATGGATCTGTTGAGACTGATAATAGTGTACAAGAACCCGGACCGTCATTAGGAGCAACAAGTCAAACCCAGCCTTCACAACGGATACGAGAAAAAATGGAACCTACCTCAGCTGAAATGATTCAACCCAAAGCAGAGTACCTGGAATCTGAAGAAAATGTCGAGGACCTTACATTGGATGACGACGACACTGGAATGGATGCAGGACCCTCACAACGGCAAGGATCAGGTAGGTGTCTCTACAATGTTTCTTCTTTTTTTTATAAATTTCATTGTCCTGGATTGCCTTGTCATATTTTTTTCATTTTGTTTTAGGATATCAATGGCACATGGGCGATCAGTCAGCAGATGAAGTCTTCATGGCAGCTCAAGAGGCAGTTGGCGCTAACAGAGATGCACAAGGTAAGCTCTTTTGACCTTGTCAGTTTTAAGTTGAAATTATATCAAGTGTTTGCAGGCTCCATAAATGAAAGCTGGCTTGTCAATTTATGTATATTTAACAATCGTTCAGATTTATGAGTCATAACTCACTTATTTAAATGTTTATAGAACAGCTTTGTAAATTTATGGTGCCCTTGAACACTTGGTATGGTTTGTGGCTAGAAAGAGCAATCCAAAGAAAGAAATTTTAATATTAATTATGAATTCTTTGGATTTCTCTGCCACATTAAAATGTGGGGTTCTATTTTCTTATAATGTGACCTATGGTTGTAATAATTCTAGCTGCCTTGAACCCTACATTTTCTTTACCTTTAAGTTGAAGTACTATATTTTAAGAGTGTTAGATCAGGCTATCATAGAAATTAGTGTGAGGCTATCATAGATTTTTGCTCAAGGTAAGAACATGGTTTTTCAAGTTAGGTTATCAGATGTTAGGTAGTTAGGCTGTATTGTTTTGTCTTGTTCTGCCCTTTTTCTTTGTATTGAATTCCTTATGAGCTGTTATTTGCTTTCCTTTTAGTTCTTCCTCTTGATTTGATGGGCTTTACATGGAAAGCTATATCCCTGACAATATCTCTCTGTGTAATTGTCTCATTCAAATTAAGAGTAAGTCTTCTAAGCAAATTATGGCATTTCTGTGGGGACCAGTACAACGAAATTGGATCTCCCAGTTTTCTGGCACTTGAAACTGGATATTTGGCACTTACTCCTTCAAGCCAGTATTCTGGCTTGCAATTCATTTTTTAAATTTCAAAGGATTTTCTCTTGTGTCCTTTATATTTTGATCTGGATTTTTATTTATTTTAAAACATTGGTATAACTTTTAATATACTTTAAATTTTCTTCATTTTCATTTCCTTTTGATTTGCTCCAAAACTTAAAAGGCATTAATTATTTTTAGCCTGTGAATGTGATCTGCTGATGTCTGAAATTTTGGGTTGTAGTTGACATCTGTATGAAATCTCAATCACTAAGTGGCTGAGTTTGGTGTTGCTTGGTTTTTCATTCTAGACATGCTATTCCCTGACTATAGCTTATCCTGAATGATTTTAAATCCAGTGCGATGCTTTGAAATGGACTCTGTCATGCAAGTGGTCATTATTTTGTTCAGTTGTAAACTTGGACTGAGGAAGTTGCGAGTCATCAGTGGTCTCTTTTTAAATGTATATTATTATATTCGCTATTTTGAAGTTTTGCTTCATTTTCATAGCAATTCTCTTCTCTTTCTCTCTTCACTCAAATTTCTTTTTTATCTAATTCATTTTTATTTAATATGGTAGCAACTCTGCTTGAGGTTAGCGTCTGCTCGCTGACCCTTGTAGATGCTTGTTTTACTTCTATTTGGCATGAAATGACCTGAGGAATGAAATCTTCATGTGACAGATACAATTTTATTGTTCAATTAATGTCACACTACTCGATATTGATTGGTTTTTGTTTTGCATTTTTGACTTATTTTTCCATGACTAGCTTGTCCTGATACATTTTATCTTATCTGTTTTTAAAGTAGATTTTCTACATTTGAGTAGCTTCTACTTGATTATCACTTCACTTAAAATTTGATTTTTACTATTTTTAAACATCCATTTTTTATTTTACTTACATTAATTTTTTCTCCTAAAATCTTCGTTTAATGTTTTTATCTGAATTTCAAATTTTACATTGCGTGAAAGTACGTAAGCACTTCTGCTTGAGGTTAGCTATTGCTCGCTAACCCAATCAGATGCTTGGATGTCAATGTGGCATAGTTAATGAGGGTATTACACCTTCAGTGACATTTTTATATGGAGTTGTTCAATGAATGTCACATCCTTGTCTACTGTAAGTACCAACTTGCATTGAGACAAGGTAAAACCTAATAAAATACCTTTATCTACACAGGCTGTTCTGGTTTTTTTTAATGCAAAATTTCGCTGTCATTTCTCTCTATAATGGGACTTTCTTTAAATTTGTATTTTTGTTCTTGTTTCTCCTGTATTTGGCACACTCTTGTGTGTAGAACTTTATTTTCTGTCGGGCATTAACTGACTCATGAAGAAACTAGTACTCACTTCTGGGGTTGTCCTTTTTATTTGGATCTGTCATATTTGGCACTCGTGCGTGGTACTTTCTCTTCCGTTTTGACAATTCATTGTTTATATTGATGAAAGTGGACAACAATTTAATGGCAAAAGCGGGTATTTTGTTCGGGGAAGAATGTTGAAAATGTTTCACTTTGAGGGTTCATTAGAGAAGAATCTTGAATACGTAGTGTGAGAGGAAAAATTACTGATCTTTTTTTTTTCTTTTATTACTCTCGTATATGACTACATGAACATGTTGATGAAATAAAATACATGAACCCGTTTCCCCACCTACACATCATCAGAAGCTGGTTATCAACAAAAGGTATGTGTCTGAGTGAAATGATTCTGAAGACTCTTAACACTATCATTATCGCAAATTAGAAATGACTTAACCAAATCAGAGAAATCAATTTATTAACTTTTTAGAATGGGAATAATCAAATTTTATTGATATATTTATTTGAGGGAAAGGTTTAAAAAGGGGGAATTTAAAGTAATTCTACATTGAGCACTATATTCTCCGATTAGTATTCTTACCTTTAAATTAATGGGAAATATTTTAAATCTCTAACACGGAAAGTGAAAGGGAGAAGGTTGAGGAATAAGGGCAATATAATTCATTAAAAAGCTTATTCTAATTATCAAACCGTTGGAAAATGGATATTTACTGATGGGATTTCATTTGGGACCGAAATCTGGGGTGATAGCCAAGGCTGCGTGACAACTCGAGTACGCTTCATTAAAACTGCGGCTGGTTAAGGGTGGGAAAAGCCTCCTTCACCTTTCACTCTAGCGTGGCGTTCGCTAGGTGTGGTTTGTACATTACGTGTGTTCAGCAAACGGCCCAGTCCGGGGGGGGGGGGGGGGGTTACATACTTGTTCATTCTTGGCCACAGTAGTTAAACCAATTGGCAACGCGATCCCGAAGGGGTGCCCACGCACTGGCTTGAAGGAGGGGGATGGAGAGAATGTGAAGGTGGCGCAAGGTGAACAGTTAATACGGTCGCCTGCTACGACCTACACAGTCTCCTCGTCGCCCTCAGCGCCTGCAAGCCAGTAGGTAGGCAACCCATCAAGCTGTCGCGTTTTCTTCCAGTTTAACTTCCTAGGTTAATGGTATATCTAGCATCCCGATAACCAAGAGCGCATGGTCGATAATGCTTGCCTGGACGAATTCATTCAAGATGCTCGTTTCTCTATGGGCGCTGAGTACCGGGTGTGCAGGCTAAGACATGCTAGGACGTCGGGTTGTGTACGCACTGGTAGGACTCTACGCACTGGCTGTTGGAGCGGCAGGCGCGGGGGAATGGTGGGGGAGCTGCCACTTCCCCGCCACCCGCACCGCGCCTGTAGCCCCTGCAGCCAATGCTTAGGCAAGCCAACGTACTGGCATGTCTTATCCTAGACAACCGGTACTTTAATAGACTAGAGGATCCCAGGCGAGGGGGACATGCGGGGTAAGGTAGGGCAAGCTCACTTTCGGACCGAATAAGGAGAGAGAGAGAGCGGTTCAGGTATTCTCATACAGACTGTTGAGTACCCGAAGTAGTGCAGAAGAAGGTTGAGGGGGTTGCTCAAGGCCGGTGATCGAACGGGCTGTATTGGCTCTTGTGGCGCGTTCGACGTTCCATTCGCTCATCCAGCTCGTTCGTTTAATTGTTCTATTCGATCACTTTGATTCTGAGCAACCGCCCAGTAACCAACCCTCTTCGGCATTAATTTAGATGTGAAACAGTTTATTTGGAGAAATCTGCGCCGCTCGCTCGCCCCGTTTTTCTTAATTTAAATGTGTTCTATGATAATTAGTCGGGCGTTTTCTCTAGTGTGCTCATTTCCTTCACCTGCTCCACCCGCCCCTCGCAAACAATCGTATTATAACGCTGCCCCCCCCCCCAAATACCACTTGATGCACTTGATGTTCCATCTGTCATCGCAAAGCGAGCCCGAGAGTGTAGGTACCTATTCGCTTGTCACGTGGCACCCACTAAAACCCTGCTAATCGACGCGTAGCGCTTAACACGTGTGGCGCGACCACGCTGTGGTCACGCTTTGCTGATGTGTCGAACCTTCGGAATGCACGCGTTGACACGCCGAGTCTCAACGTCAGCACATGGTGGCCATACCCTGCTACCGGGGAAAGCCCAATCTTTCTAGGGTGCGATTAGAGAGCGCGACCGTTTCCCCCACCCCCTCACCCTGTTTTAGCGATTTAGAAGGCGCTTCTAGGGGCCAACGTTTCAGGCAAATTTCTAAGGCCGCCACTTCACGCCAATTTAAATATTCTTATGAGATATAGTTGATGAGGGCATTTTGAGAAATAGCTGTACTTTAAAAAAAGTTGTCCGTACGTCACACAATTGGGGAGGACGGAAGTAGAGCGTTATCAGGGAGCTGTCCAATCGCCCGCCTTTGAGACGACTTTAGTAGTGTTTGGGCACAAAATCGTATCACCTCTCACCGTCAGGTGACGTAAGGACATTTTTAATATTTACGATTTGCCAGCTGTCGTAAACTAGATGCTAGGTGCCATAGGCTTTTTGGGCGACTTCCCTCGGCTAGGTCACTGAGACCTCACCGAGTCCAGCCCTGACATGGCCAAAAATTGATAGCCGAAGGTATTGAGCCCCCCCCCACCCCCCCTTTCTTTTTGGCTTCCCAAAAGCATGCCTTTTTTTTTCTCAAAGGAAAAGGGCGGCAACACTGCCACCGCCATGTTTCTTCATAGAAACATGGCGGATTATGAAAAATTATGCGTAGCATTCCTGAGATCTGAGAGCACGCCCAGAACCTGTCGCTCGGCTACTCTGCGCACCTCTCACGCGAGGGTCGCTACCCCCTTCCCCCTCCCAACCGTTCTGGCCGACGCCATAAGCTATAAAACCATGATTCTTTCTACACCCCCCCCCCTTTTCCCCGTTGAACGGCCAGTCCATGAAATGTAAATGTGGTCTCAGGCGTCAACTAGCGGTACGCAAAGGTGGCCACAGTACGTTGCCCGCCTGGATCCCAGGTCATGACGGGCGAACCTTGTCGCATGGGCACTTCACCGACTACTGTGACATAACCTTTCCAGCCGAGCGGCATCCAATCACAGCGCTTATCGCCTGGGTGCCGGCCCGGCCAGAAACCACCGTGTTCGAGGCTAGCGTGCAGGCGAGCCGACGCGTGCTACAGCGGAGGGTGTAGTCTCGCTCGGGGTGTCTCTGGCCCGGGCGATACCAGACCGGAGCTCTGCGCACGATGGCCGCCAAATTATACCCCCCACCCCTCTTTACGTTTACGGATGAGAAATTCCCATTGCCCTCATGCTAGCCTCGCGAAGGACGCTTTTAGAGGGAATGCAAGAGTGGGCAGCACCTGGAGAAAGGATACTAGTCAGCTGGCACTAGCAACCTCCTCAGCGTACCCCACTTAGTGGCATCGGAGGGTAACGTGCCAGCCAGCTATCCACCCTTCTGCAGGGCGTGGCCTGCTCTCCCCCTCCCCCGCTCGGTCCGTTTAAGAAATAGTTGTGTCCGCACTGAACGAAAGTTAACGCTGACGTGAACTTCCCCAAGGGGAGTCTGGCACCATGTCCAGGCCAAGGCGAACAATGGTAGCCACACCCTCGGATAGGTTGACAGCAGCGCAAGCGCGCGCTAAGCGTGAAAACAACCAATTGATAACTGGTACTAATCTGAACTGTCTTTGGTTGACTATCCAAAAAGTTACGAGCGAGTCAATGTCCACGTTTCACCCGCTCCCTAAAGTGAGCTCTCCCTCCGTACCCTTCCCAGATAATAATCCCTCAGTCATGGGCTCCATGCCTCAGTCACGGGAACACTCACTCTTTCCTCGTTTGGGGAAAATCGTCCGGGAAGTAGCAGGGAAAGCCAGAGGAGGCGGGAGAAAAGTTTTCACTTCGCAGGGAGGCTTTCTCAATCGCAGCAATATAAATGCTGAGGAAAGTTAACTGGCTCCCAGTCCCCCCCCCCACCCCCACAATTTCCCGAACCAAGGCCAAAATTGTGTATTTCGCCCCATCAGATTAAGAATTGCTAAAACGTTCTTTTTAAATCTCAGAATACCTGAGCCAAATTCATTTGTGCAGAATGCCACTCATGAATTATCAACCCTCACCCCCAACAGTATAAGTTATTTTTCTACTTTCAGGTTATTCGGAATAAGTCATTTCAGTGACTGAATTTAACAATTTTGACACCCATTTTGTTCATGAGCAACAAATACAAAAAAGCAGTATTTTGTGTCCTCATCAATTATTTAAAATATTGGTCAAATTTAACTGGAAGTAACTACTAAAAAGTTTGAATAATTGTGTGTGTCCATCGAATAATTTGTCATCTTCCTCTTTTAAGAGTCGATAAATGCACAGCTTCATTCTTTAACAAGTTAATTTTGAAATATGTGTTGCTTTTTTACTTAATTAATAAATTATGAAGTATTGATGTGTTTCATTTTCTCTATCAAATATCATGTGTTTACCAATCAGGTGTGTAAGTGATGGTGAAAAGGAAAGGGCAGGAGGGGACGAGGAACAGGGCATAGCAATCAAAATACTTCAAATATCAGAGTTCAAATAAAAGTAGAGCATACCTTATCCTCAAGGGTTGCTGACAGACATAAAGCTCTTCAACAGCATGCCAGCTGATCTTCGTTTGTCCAAGGAATTATAGCAGATACCTTCTTAAGCAGTAATGCAAGTCTCGTAAGACAAGACATTATGCTGAAGAATCTAATAAGCAATACTGTGTTTCAGAAAAACACAATAAAGCCACCAGACCACAAACTCACCTCAAATTCAGAAAATACAGTGTGGCACAACCATCTTACAACTAAATAAATCCAAAGTAATTTCAAACTTATATCTAAGTACTTCAACTTAAAGTGATAGGTTTGTCAGAAAATAAACAAGGCAGACAAGATAAATAAAAGGGCCCTTTTGAAGACCATTTTTGCAAGAACTAGAGCATACCTTTCAGAATAGAAGACTTCTCAAAATAAACAAGATAAAAAAACAAAAACATTGACTTTTAAAGCTCAGAATAATTTTGAAAATAAAAGGAGGTTCTTTGAGCAAAGTGATATCAGATGAATTGAAGTACCTTTCATCTGCCCTGTTTATAACTGCATCAATGAGGTGGTTTGAAAATATAAATTACGTAACACAAGTTATCACAAGTTCCAAGACTCTAAAATTTAGTAATTTGCCAGATGTTACAATTGGCAAGAAAATTTAAGACAAAATATTAAGAGAATTTAAAAAGTTACATAATACTGATAGGCAAACCAACTCATTGATAAAAGGCTTTTCTTACATAGAACATTTTGCTTACCTTGTGCATCTCTGTTTGCGCCAACTGCCTCTTGTGCTGCCATGAAGACTTCGTCAGCTCCTTGATCACCCATGTGCCACTGGTAGCCTAAGAACAAAACCAAATAATTAATTAAAGACCCAAAACAACAAACAAACCAAAAAACACACACTAACAGTAAAAAAATAGTGAACCAGACAGCATAAAATGTTAAACCCGCCAGTCATATGCAGGCCTCATATCACAGCTCAAAATAATCCACAAAAATTTAATTGCAAAAACATTGTTAGAAGATAGAATACTATTTCTTGATCAAGACAAATAAAATTTTGTTTGATATTTAAAAGAAGATAATGCTTTGAGCATAAACACATTAGGCAACAATACTTCTAAGAAAGAAGTTTTGAACTGTGGTATAGACCTTCACTTAAAAAATCATTTAATAAGATAGGAAAAAGACTAATAACAAAAACATACCTGCTCCTTGCCGTTGTGAGGGTCCTGCATCCATTCCGCTGTCCATATCGTTGTCATCATCCAAAGTAAGGTCTTCTATATTTTCTTCAGTGTCTAGGTATTCCGATTTAGGTTGAATCATTGGGCCAGAGGTAGGTTCAGTTTTTTCTCGTATCCGTTGTGAAGGCTGGGTTTGACTTGTTGCTCCTAATGACGGTCCGGGTTCTTGTACACTATTATCAGTCTCAACAGATCCATCCATAAGGGATGAAAGAATTCCTAAGGCATTACTGTCCGCTGAACCATTCATTGGCACTTGGTCAGAACTAAGGGGGGCCGAGGACTGTGTACGAGACACATCCCCAGTATTGGAAGAGTCACCCTCAACAGCACTATCATCACCACCTGATGTTCTTCGCCGTCGTTTTCTTCTTAATGAAGGGGATTCACTACCATCACGAGAACCACTATCTGAAGGAATGTCCACTACTTGCGAAGTTTGAGGTTGTTGTGGCCTCCGCCTTTCCACTGTTAATCCACCGCCAGAGCGTGGAACATTTGTTACTGGAGCACCTTTACTAGTCCGTTTAGCACTTGTCCCCCCACCTGTATCAGGTGGTTCATTTCCCCCACTGTCTGATAATCCTTTAATTTGTAAGGATTCTGCAGCTTTTAAAAACATGCCTAATTTATCTTGCGCCACATTCACTTCTCCACGGTACATGTAATCCATCATGGCTTGAAGCTCGTAGAACTTCACATCTTTCAAGAGCAGAATAGGGTGTTTGTCGTAATGCTGGCTCAGCAAAGTCTAGAAAAAGGGAGGAAAAAAAAGACATTAAAACAGAGCACAAAACAAAATAATTTTTTTTAAATACAAGTAGCAATAAGAAACGCTAATTACTTCACTTAAAATTTGAATCAATGCTTACCTCTAAATATGGACTGCATGCTGAAAGCACAACTTTGTGTGCTTGTAAACACTGCCCTTCTGCTGCTAGAGTGCAATCCACCATAGCACCCCTCTCCAATAGAGAGTCGAACACTGAGATCAGTGTGCTTTGGTGGTTGTTCCATCTCAGGCAGAACTGCTGGTCTGCCATTATCACAGATTTCTGAAACGGTAAGGAAAGGAGTTGAATTATAACAGCCAAAAGAATCCTTTAATGCATCAATCCAGGGCGTTGGCTGGGGCTAAGCCACAACCGCCATTGCAGTCCCGCAGCGTCCCCTTGCCCCCAGCCCAGCAAGCTATCAGTAGTTTGGTGGGTGAAAAGGAAAATCCGTCTCATGCAAAGGGAAATAATGCAGCCACGGTACAACGAATAAAAATTACTTACGTTTAAGAATGACTGTATAGAAAATAAGGTAGATGCGGGGAAAGTTCCTAAGGTTCGCAACGACACATCTTTTCTCCTCCGCTCTCACGACACAACTGTACTGACGCGGCGCGGAGCGTTACAAGGCCCAACCCCATTGGTTTGCGGGGTCCTTTGGTTGTCCAGGTGCGACAAACTCTATCTTGACCAAAGTTTTCTTCAAACACAACATTTTCCGTGGTAAACGGTACGACGGCGATGAACTGTATTTGTAATGAGAGATTTCAAATGACATTTCTCGTGTTTCAGGAAATTTGGTCAACCATGAATTTATATGAAAAGTTTTGAGTCATGGCTGCGTGATAAAGGGTACGTCATGCCATCCTGAGGAAGAAAAAAAGAAGAACACATGGTGCTCCCTCCCGCCAAGACTCGCTCCAGCTGCCAGCTACCTCCTCCAGCAGCTCCAGCCCTCTCTATAGCTCCTTACGCTAAATGCACTAGGCGCTACACTGGGGCCTGATGAGTAAACGTTGACGTCGATATCGACCAATATTGGACGACAATTTGACGTCAAAAGTCAAAACGCGTCAATAATCATTTGACCATATGTATCTAAATGACCTCTAATTGCCGTCGAATTTCAGCTCCCATCCTCTCCGTCCTCGCCCAGGGAGTACCTCTATCGAGGAATTTGGGGGGGGGGGGGTGTCAGCTCATGCATCGCCCAACGCCTAACGTTAAAATGACCCGCAGTAAATCTTGCCGATGAGTGCAAAATGAGGTCATTGTGACATGATTTTGACAAACGTGTTCTACCTGGGCAAATATATATAAGAGGGGACGCTTTGGATCTTCGAAGGGAAAGGTCTCACACAAAAACCGGCGGTATATTTGACGTCTAAATCATCCGGGGGAACTCGTTGAACCGAGGTCGTACAAAGTACCTCGGTCGGCGGTACCCCAGGCACGTACCCCGGGTAACTCCTTGCCCTGGATATGATCCCTAAGTAGAAGGTACCTTACTCAGGGTACGTACCCTGGCCTGGCGGTACCTTTACCTCGGTTTCCCGTTTCCCTGCAGCCGACCTTCAAAAGTAGTGAAGTCAAGTCATGGTTGTCATCATTGTGCACGTAAGAGTATGTTTCGTTACGATCTTACGACTTAAAAGTAGTCCTGAAACCGACGGCTTTTCGACAGCTCATGTCGTTTCGATGTTGTTTCGACGTTTCACTGTCGAAAAGCAGTCGATTTCATAACCACAAGATGTGAAAAACGATGTCGAAACAATCGTCGGATAAATTTCTCAGTGGGGTGATGGGTTCCAGGTTTCATGGGAGGCCCACCTAAATGAAGAAAAGTTTAGTATAATGAATATAGGGTTCTATAGCAATGGCCGAAATACCTGTCACCTCCATCAAACACAAAGAATTTAAAGTCATGACTTTGCATTGCTTTGAGTATTCGCGCCCTTCGATGATGGAGTGATTGCTCGAGGAATTCCTAGCAGGCTTTGGATGCCTGGAACGCACCCAATGATTTGGTTATGTTGAAATGTCTGTTACAACAGGGTTTGAAGTAGAAAATAATAA